CACATTAAAATTAATACCAAAGAAAAAATAGATATTTCAATTTAGTGCTGAAAATATTTCACTTGGTCTTTTTCAGGACTTTTTGGGACCTGCCTTCAAAACGTCTATTTTCTCGTGAACAAAATTTCCTCTGAACCAAGGGCACAGGTGCCTGTCCTTCCAAGAGAAGGCCCAGTGAACAACCTAGACCTTCCATCAATTTGCCTGACCTGGGTAGGGCCCCCAGAAAGGACCACACTCCACACTAAGAGGCTCATACTCTTCCCTGGCCAGAGTGGACTGTGTCCGAAACGGACAGCTGACCCCAAGTCAACAGTCATGGTCTGCCACCTGCCTACCTCTCCAGCCTTATTCCTTCTATCCTGTCCCTTGAAATCAGTGCAGTTGGTGTGTCTGTCCATCACAGTACCTACCACCATTATCAAATAATTATACGTTTATTTCAGTGATTACTCACTAATGTCTATCTTCTCTCCTAAACGATAAGCTCCAAGAGGGTGGAAATGGGTCAGTTTTTGCTCACTATTGTGTTCTACCAACTGGCACAATTCCTGATACATAGTAGGCATTTGATAAACTTTTTTTTTTAAGATGAAGAAAGGATTGTAATATTATGCCTTCCTTTCTCTAAAACTTAATTTTTTATTTCATGAAACTTATATGGAAATACACCCACTTTGGGCACACCCAAAATTAAGGCAAAAGAATCAAAGCCATAACAGAATCTACTTTTATCCTCAAAGAAAAAAAACATCAGAGAAAGCCACATTCAATTTGACAAGTTTAAGAAGTTTACAGAAACATACCTGAATGAAGCTGAATTTTCCCAATAACTCCTTCTACCAAACCCAAACAAATGGGATTCCAGGCAAGAAGTAGATCAGTAGCTAAAATAAAATAAGAAGCAGTCATGAGAGAATATTCATCAAAAAACATATTAAAACAGCATCTTCAGCAGTATATTCATAAATGACCAATGTCCCAAAAGAGCAGTTATGAACTCCCAGAACTGAATATATTACCATCAAGCAGTTTTTTTAAAAGTCTTAAACCCGAGGCCTCATTAAGGCTTCTGATATAGGACAGTTACGGGGCAAGAAGTGGCATTCTGAAACTGCTCAGATGGGAGGCAGTACTCTGGCGCCCTGTAGTGGAGGCAAGAGGCTGGTGCACTACCAGACGGCAAAGAGCAGAGCTGTCCGCAGTCCTGCAGCCACAGCCAGTCCCAGAGACAAAGACAAGGCCCGAGGGACCACCATAGAGACATCCACTGACTGTGGTCTGCAAATACCCTTTCCCAAAGCTCACACCAAGCAAAGAAATCCAGAAATCCAGTGCTCTCTTATGTGACTTCTAGGGCAAAAACAACAGGAGCAGCTTCCATTTACTGAGTGCCTACTGTGTGTCAGGCATCCCAGTCAGGGTTCCTCATTTTAGCCGCAGAACAATGACTCGAGTGACTGTTTTCTCAAGTTCTCCCAAGAACTGGAAACAACGGATGCCATCTGGATGCACAGGAGAGAAGCTAATTCATACACACAGCGAATGCCTAAGGACAGTAGGGCTTAATTCTCGTGGGAACCCAGGTTGCAAAAGGCTGTTAGATACATGGAGATAAATGTAACATTAATGGTAGTTCAAGAGCTGGAAAAGATTAGCAAGAATGAAAACAATATTTCTCTCGGCAGAAAATTAAAATTACACTTTATTACCATTGAAATTTTATTTTAGTACAAATTATATGCAATCTACAACTTAGGGGTAATTACAAATTTAGTTCAGTCTCCAAATTCTTTTGTTTTGACTATTGTATCTTGAATATCTTTATTGTTAATGATATATTCAATGGGAGGCAAAAAAGGTGCCTTTTTGTTTTTATTCAAGAATTAAAGTACAATAAGGAATTAATTTTCAAAAGGCTGTTATATACATTATCATTCCAATCCTGACAACTCTGTGAGTTAGGTATTAGGAGTTCCATTTTACAGATGAGGAAATGGAACCTTAGAGAAGTCACACAGCCATGTCATACAGTGGATCAAGGGCAGAGCTGGAATTCAAAGCCAGGTCTGCATGACTCGTGTAACCATCCTGCTACAGGGCCTCCCTCAGAACCTATACATGCATCTAATTGATAACACAATATTCACATTTTAAATAACATGCATTATTATAAAAGTAATATTGCATAAAATGAGAAAAAATATTTTATCACTCCCATCCTACCACCCACAGATAACTTATTATTTTGCTACATTTCAGGTCATATGTTTGTATGTATACCCAACTACAATACTTTGAATACAGCATTACATGCTAACTTTTTTCTAATAACATTTCATGAGTACTCTCTCATGTCTTCAAAACACTCTTCAAAATTCTATCTTCACGCCTGTATCATTTTCCACTTAAGGAAGCACTTCCTCACTCTTTGGGCATTTCAGTGATTTCCAGTTTTTCCCTAGTATAAAAAATACTGTGATAAATGATGAATATTATGCAAATATTTTATTTGCCTCCCTAATCAATAGCTTCAGGACAGATTCCTAGGAATGAAATTAGTAGGTAAAAACATTAAAAAAATTAAAGCTTTCAAATATTACCAAATTGCTTTCTAAAAAGGTTATATACCAAGTTAGATTTCTGCCAGAAGCATATGAAAATGTTTGTTTTTAAGTACTCTTGCTATTATTAAGAATTTCTTTTTTAATTTTGCTAATTTGATGATATCCATTGCCTAACATGTTTATTTTCTTCTCATTGCTAGTAAGATTAAACATTTAATTATAAAATTGGCTGCTTATGTTTCTTCTACTATGATTTTCTTGTTCATATATTCTAACAAATTGAGTTTTTTTGTTTGTTTTTTTGTTAGCTGAGCCATCCTGCTACCTGTTGGCAGCTCAGCGGCTGCTCAGCTCGGGCCAGGACT